ATGCCTGCCTGATGGGGTCGATGGGCAGTTGAAACAGACATTAAACAAGATTTTCATAAGTAATTGTTGGATTACAATTGTATTAAGTGTTGTGAAGCAGGTTGTCTGCCCTGTTGGAAGCCTGGGATGTTCCATAAAGTTCTTCCTGAGGAAGCAGTATTTAAATTGAGACTGATGAAATTAAAAGAAAGTTTACTTCATAGGTTCCTGGAATCTTTGAACTGTAATGTCGAATGAACATTTTGCCAAAATATTTTTCTTGTAGTATGTAAGAGTTTGGAAGAGTATAGAGAACAATATGAGTTTCCATATCATGGACCAACTAATTTAAAATATTTGTTGAACACCTTCAATGTGTGAGGGCTCTTGGGTGGGTACTGCCTGGGAGTTATAATATATAATACTTTTCCAGGTATGAGAAGTTGATAGTTTCCAAACCAAATTCTCATTTCAGCCCCCAGGAGTGTGTAGCTTAGGTAAGACAAAAATTTTTTTCATTTTATAAGAAAGAAAATACGAGGCTGGGGATTTAGCTCAGCGGCACAGCGCCTGCCTGGTAAGCACAAGGTCGTGAGTTTGATTCCCTGTACCGGGAAAAAAAAAAAAGAAAGAAAGAAAGAAAATACTTCGTAGGGGCTGGTGAGATGATTTGCCCAGTGTTGCACGGTCTCCAGAACTAGGATTAGAGCTCAGCCCTTTATACTGTCAGTCCAAGGTCCTTTCCACTCTACCTCCTTGCCTGTTCATGCTTTTAAAGAACAAAGAAGATAGTTATTGGTTTTGCCTAACCCAGCATCCAGTTTTCTAACTTTTCCTTTCCCTACTTGAACCACAAAGCCTTGGGTGCCACATGATTCAATAGGGGATAACCTCATCCCACCTTTGTTCTAGGATAAGTACATGGTCAAGACCACTATAGCATCAGTGTGAATTAGAAAAAGGTCCCTTCCCTTGGCCAATGCAGGCCTGTGCCAGAACAGAGGCTTTGATTAAGTACAGCTCACACTAGATACCAGCCCCTTTTTGTCTATGTGATAACAAGGTACATAAATGTTTGTGGTGGCCTTTCCAATGTCTGGAATGTGGCCAACTCAGAGACATTTATTTGACACAAGCCAGGCCAATGAGATAGGCTGGTACTTCTGTAGCAAGTCTGGTACTTCTCATTACACTTGCTACATGGGTGTTCATATTGCCTCCAATAGGGAAGAGCATCCTCAAGACTTGGCCTACATGAAAGAAAGGAGATCTGAGAGATGGGAAAACAAATTCTAATAACATTGTTTGGGTACCATAGCTGGATCCAGAGCTACCCCTCATACTAGGTTTGTGGAGGTCCAGTGCTTTGCTTAATATTTTTCAAAGTTTTTCAAGGAAGCAGATGCCTGCAAACTCTCAGTGGCCTGTTAGGATCTCTTTGTAATTAGATGACTTCATATCTTACCTTCTTAACTTTGGGATTTTAGTATACTTTTTTTGGGGGGTGTTTTTTTTTTTTTTTTCCCCCCCGGTACTGGGGATTGAACTCACAACCTTGCGCTTGCCAGGCAGGAGCTGTGCCACTGAGCTAAATCCCCAGCCCCAATTTTAGTATACTTTTGGAACAATAAGAAAAATCTTACTCAATATCCTCTTTATCAGGTGGGGTTGGATCAAAATTAGTTCATTATATAGGTGGGATGAACTTGAAAGATAAGATGGTGACATTTTATATAAACTCAGGAATGTCAGTGATGTATACAAAGTGGATCTAGAGAAATGTAAAATTGTGAAAAGTAATGAAAAGCAGACAGTAGCAGGAAAGTCATAAAGACAAAATCAGATTGGTGTATATTAAGTACAAGCTCAGGACTTTAGCCTTGGCCTATCTACTGCTGTTTTAGGAAAGTTAACCTCACTGAGGTGTGAAGGGTAAAGGAGTGAAGGAAATCTGAAGGTGTCCAGGCCAACTGAGAATCTACTTAGATATTTTATATATGTAGTGATGGTTAAAAGGAAAAGGTGGATTTTTTAAAAAACAATTTGTTGTTCATAAAACATTTTGAGGTCTTAAATCACAAAGAGTTTTAATCTATTTTTTAAGAAAAACTAAGATATTAAGGCATCTTAAAATAATATAAAGATTATTACAGAAGCAGAGTCATATTTAATGAAATATAAATTCCACCACATAACTAGTGGTTGTTTATGGGTTTGCATATTGAGTGTCCCATAATAATTTGACCCTAAATGGGCCATAACTAGGTAGCAGATTAATATAGGCAGATTGTTATGGGTTGTGTCTCCATGTCCCCCCATCATTCTCATGCAGTCATGGAGCGGGCTGCTAGGATTTGTGATTGATCCACGATCCAATGCTGGGGTTATGGGTGCGAGTGCTAATGCCCACCCTGAGGGGGATAGTTTGCATACAATGTAAGGGAGGGAAAGAGGCTGCTTGCCACCCTTCCTCCCTTTTGCTCTTGTTTTTGCTGTGTTCCACTGCCATGAACGCTTGCCGTCTGCCATGTGCCACTCTGCCTTGGAACCAGCCCAGCATGGACTGAAACCTCCACAAACTGTAAGCTAAATAAACCTTTCCTTCCTTCATTTTGGGCTTCAGATATTTTGTCCCAGCAATTAGAGAAAAGTAACCGAGACACAGATATATTTGAGTTTAATTTTTTCCCAGTGACCGGGGTGGTTGGTTGAATACATGAATTTGAAATCTTCATGCCTGTCTAAGAACAGAATGTGAAATGTGGATTTGGCTTATACTGGTACTTATTTTCATGCAATGGGAATTAAAGAGAGAAGACAACCCAATAAGTAACTTGTAATTTTCTTAGGAATAATTATTTCCTAATCTAAGTCCAAAAGATCTTTTCATTATTTTAGCAATGGAAAATGCACAATAAACACTACTACACTTACTCAACTTTTATTACCTTTTCTAGCTAGTTGGGGAAAAACTGCCTTCTTGAATACTGACTGATATCTAAAATTTCCTCTCTAGATATTTCTGGCATAATTTTCCTCTGATTCAGAGAAACTGCTGAAGAAACATTAAATTGAGAAGATAATTCAGAGGATTGCATAGGCCAAATGACATCATATCTCTGATCCTGCGTGCATTTACACCATTTAAGGAGATCTTGTCTTCCCCATGGTACTTTGTTTTTGATCACCACTTAAGAACGCATCCTTACATAAAATATCAGCAACTCTTACTCCTTGGATTTGACTCATCTTAAATACAACCTGATGTTTTTATCCTTTTAAAGTTACTACATTTATAAAGTACAATTCCATAATGAGAATTTTAGGATGAGGGACTGTACTGTAAATCAGAACCTAAGCAGAATACATGTATAAACATAAACATAACCAAAACATTTTCACTCTATAATCGTATTTAGGCTTTGTTTTACACATGTCTGAAGATGAGCAGCATCTTTTCCATTTCTACATTAAGTTTTGGTCAGATTTATCTTTATTTTTCTAGTCAACCAGCCTTGAACATTTGAAATTGTTGTCTGTTCTCTTTCTTTTTCCAATAATTGTGGCCAATATATTGAGTGTTCATTAGGTGCTAATTTCTCTGTTCAGCCCTTTACATGGAATATTTAGCATTCTTTTAATTGCCATGTTCAGTATATACTATTGTTATCCTCATTTTATAGCTGAAAAAACAGTCTTACAGAGATTTACTGACTTACCCAAGATTACATAGTAAGTGGTAAAGCCAGGCTAGGAAGCCAGGAATGTAACGGAAAATCTTAACCAATTTTTCTGTACTGTTTCACCAAAACACAATCATGTTGATATATGGATTCACTTTATTAGTAATTCCTTTATTCATTCCACAAACATCTCATATGCAGCCAGTGGAAATCAGAGACCATAGAAGGTGCTAAGAATGAGGACAAGGTTCCTGCCCTCACAAGTTAGAAAGCCAAACATCAACAACAACAAAAAAATGAAAGAATGATATAAATATTTTATAGATGTTATTTCTATTCCTTTTTCTATATATTTGGTTGCTTTTGGTTGCAAATAATTGGGAGCTTCACTAACAATAGTTTAAGGAATATAGAAATTTACTTATATCATGTAGGTAAGTTTGATGTTCTGTGGCTCAATGATGCTATGACAATTAGAACACTTTTGATTCTTCTGCTGCACAGTCCATAGCATAACAGAGCTATCACTCCTCATATTCACAAAATAGCTGCCGTGGTTCTAGACATCATATCCTCCCCCTTTAGCATCTAAAGCAGACAGAAAGATGGTAAAGAGAAAGGAACTTTTCTTTGTATCTGCTCTCTCTTTTATTAAGAGATTTGTTTTTCTCCAGAATCATCCAACAGAATGCTTTTTATGTCCATCTACATCTGTCCATGATAAAAGGCAGCAGAATTTGGTACACTACTTTCTAAATAAAGTAGGGTTCTATTAGTAGTGATTAAAGTGGGATGACTAGGGAATAGTCCATGCCTACCAGTAATGTTTGCCTTGTCTCTCTTCCCAGTCCAAGTGCCAAAACGGAGGTATACAGAAAGTGCAGTGAATACTTAGATTACAAAAGTGTTAATTCTGACTGTGAGAACTACAGATGCCTCTTTAGATGAGATATTTTAGCTGCAGCTTTTACAGTATTTTCCACATCTGCCTCATTCCTCTTTTCTCTAACCTATGCCTTTATCCCGCACAGAGCCATCTCATGCATATGGTAGATTCCTTGCCATGCACAACAGTGACCATGTGTGCTACGAGTCCAACAAAACATAAATGTAAGAAACATTTTTTTTTTGCCATCTGATCAAATGCTTCTTGGTCAAAATAGTCAAGAAAGGATACATTAGGCACACTGTCAGGGGCCTCAAATATTTGCTTCTTTTCCAAATAATTTTCTCCCTTCTCATTCTTTTCCCTTACTCTCATTTTAGGTAATACCAAAAATGAAAAGCTAGAACTGTTTTTCTGATAGGAATGAAATAGAAATTGTAGGGCACCATGTGTCAGAGACCAAAGAGATTCACTTGTTCTTTTTATTCAGTATGACAGCTATGAGTTATCCTTTGGTGTACAGCAAGTTATTCTAAAACTTAGTGGCTTAAAACAACAATAAGCTTTTATTGTCTCACACACTTACAGGAATTTCAGGAGCAGCATCCCTGTGTGCTTTTGGCTCAGGGTCTCTCATAAAGTTGTAATTAAGATGTTAGGTGGGACTTTAGAGACTTGAAGGCTTGACTGGAACTAGAAGCTGTGATTCCCATGATTTCCTTTCATAGCTGTTCCCAGTGGCTGCCATCTTCTCATGTGACCTCTTCATAAGGTGACCTTATACATCCTAGTGGCAGGTTAAAGTAGAAGGAGAAAATATGGCTTGTTGGATGCTGTTTAGATAATAATAGATAATTAGATACAAATAATAATTAGATATTAATAATAAATAATTAGATAGTTATCTAAAATGAATACAGCTCTATTTTTATGTCCTTTATAAAGAAGAACCCTATATAGCCTAAACACCTAAATATAAAAGGTATAGAACTAATAGAAGAAAGTATGAGAAAGTCCTTGAAAACTTGAGGTGGGCAAAGAATTCTTCATCAAGATCCTAAAGACACAAAATATAAGGTAAACAATAGATTTAACTACATTGAGAATTTCTGATCAGCAGAGGATATCAGACAAATTAACAGGTAGGTCCTAGGCTTTTATAACCTCATTTAAACCTTTATATTTCATTCACAGTTCCATCTCCAAATATAAGCACCCGAGGGATTCAGGCTCAGAAGTTTGTAACAGTCATGAAAAAGAAGAAATCCTAAAAATATCTGCTATTTTCTGTTAAGAGAGATGAAAAAACAGGAATATGTAGCAAAGTAACAAATTTATTCTCTCACAGTTTTAGAAACCAGTGGTTTGAAATCCAGCTGTGGTATATTGGTACCTTCTTGTGGCTCTAAGAGAAAAACCTGACAAATGCCTTTTCCCTAATTTCCAGTGACTCCTAGTAATCCTTGCATTCTTTAGCCTATAGATATAGAACTCTCATCTCTGCTTTCACCTTTATACTGTCTTCTCCTCTGTATCCTCTTTTTTCTTTTTTCCAGTACTGACCATTGAACCCAGGGCCTTTACACTGAGCCCTTAATTTATTTTTTTATTTTTTTGTCTTTTTGAGAGGATCTCACTATGCAGTTCAGGCTTGCCTCAAACTCAAAATGATACTCCTGCCTCAGCCTCCCAAGTGCTGGGATTACAGATATGTGCCACCACGCCTGGCATGAGAATTTTTTTTTTAATTTTGAGACAGTATCTCACCAAGTTGCTAGGTTGCTCAGTCTGCCATTGAACTTGCAGTCCTCCTGTCTCAGGCTTCTAGAGTGCTGAGATTTGAATAATAATGACAAGGATTCTAGCATATGTAAGAAGAGTCCCAGAAGGAAAAAGGAAGAAAGAATACGTGAACAATATATTTGAAGAAATCATGGCTGAAACTTTCCAAATTTGTTTTCAAAAAAACAAAGTAAAACAAACAAGCAGAGAAGAGAACAATTTATGTATCCAATAACCTCAGCAAATTCCAAGAAGGGTAAGCACCAAGAGAATCATACATAGCTATATCAAAATCAAACTGATGAAAGCCAAAAACAAAGAGAACATTCTGAAGGCTGTGAGAGAAAAAACAGTTCACCATTAATGGGAGAAATAAAATTATGATTCCTAGCTGACTTCCCAGAAACAAATAATATATTCAAGATGCTAAAAGAAGAAAAAGAACATGTCACCATGAATTCTTTATCCAGTGAAATTAGCCTTTCACAGATAAAGCTAAAATAGACATATTTCCAAAAGAACAAAAACAGAATTTGTTGCTTGTGGACTTGTATTCCAAGAAATACTAATGAAATCGACACTGGATAATACTTTGGGCATGCAAGAAAGAACATGGGGAATAATAAATATATGGCTGAATTAAAACACCATAGATTTTTTTCTCTTTTCTTAATTTCTCCAAACCAGGGTTGTTCAAAGTAGTATTTTTCTATTATTTGGTTGATTACTTTTGTAGGTATCATATGCAGTATATGATAATAAAAGCATTAGTTTTCCCCATGAAAATGTGTTCACGCATAATGGGTTTGTTATATTTTAAATGTCGGTGACCATTTTTTAAATTTCAGTTTTTCATTAAATACGATAAGTATTGATAAAACACACACAAACACTGAAGCCGTTTGGAATCTTCAGTAGTTTTTATGGGCGTAAAGGGTTGTTGAGATTGAAAACTTTGTGAACAACTGCCAGGGCCTACCTGCCAGGCATGAATTTCTATTCACCACATTTAACAACACTGGATTAGAAGTATGATTGGATTTGGTCTTCAGTCTACATCAGTACATAATAGTACCCAGTCTAAGACTAAGCTTGTAATACAGGTAGTGACAATTACTATTTTATTTGATTATGACATTTTTCATTCAGCAAGTATTTACTGAATGCTTCCTGTATGCCAAGCTTAGTGGTCAGCAATGGGGACTCAATGATGAGCAAAACACAGGCAGTTCTGCCCTAGATTACTTGATAGTCACTTTGGGGGAGGCACTAGAATAATCATATAAAGATGTATAGAATTACAATTGTGGTAAGCATTTGTCTTAGTCACTTTTTTTTGGATGCTGGGACAAAATACCCAGCATAGCAATTTAAGGGAGGAGATGTTTATATTGGCTCATAGGTTTTATATGATTCAGTCTATAGCTGGCTGGCTCCAGGACAGAAAGAGCATGGTGGAAGAGTCTGGTGACGGGAAGCTGTGCACATCATGGTGGCCTGGAAGGAGGGACAGAAGGGAGGAGCCAGCGAAGGTGACGCACCCTTCCAAGTCATGCCCCCTACAGCCCTGCCCTTTCTGACCAGACCCTGTGTCCTAACAGTGCATTCATCTCTGAACTCTTTAGTGGATTAATCCACTGACAAGTATAGTACCCCCATGATCCGATCACCTTCACTTCCGAACTCGCGAGTCTTTGCGGGGGACATTTTAGATCTAAACAAGAGCACTTTTAACAGTGATGAAGGGATGGGTACATAAAGGATATTAACTGTGATTTTCAGAGTTAGAGAAGGTTTCTCTCAAGCGCCAGTTACGGCAGTTTCAAAAATGAGCAGGGATTCAGGAGGCGCGTTAAAAGGCTCTGCGGTAAGCAGGAATCGTACCGGGCCAGTGCGGCCGAAGTCCGCGGGGCAAGTCCACACTGTGATGACTCGCGAAGAGCCCAAGCTATGCGGGGATTCGCAGGCCTTGCGGAGGAGGATTTTAGACCTTTATCATGGTTAGTGGAGAGTCATGGAGAGATTCAGAAAAACGGTGTGACATTAGGTTTGTATTTTTAAAAGATTACTGGTAGCAGGAGCGTAGTGGAACAAGGACGAAAAGCAGAGACAGGCGAGCGGGGTGGGTGGCAGGTTCCAAGTGAAAGACGATGGAAGCTTGGACATAGAAACGGCGGCGGAGCCCCAAATTTGGGATATATTTTTCAAGTAGGGCCCCTAGGACCTGGTGATTAAAGATTAATCAGCAAAATACTCCACTGACCAAGTCAAACACCTTCCTGTAAGATCAACTCATGAGGTTATTGAGAAGTTGGAAAATCTCCCCCACTCTTGCTTGACAATGATCCAAAACTCCGGGGTGATGATCAGAGCCGGGCGAGTCCATGGCCTCGCAAAACACACGTACAGGGCTGGAGACATGAGGCCGTTCCCCAGCCCGAACAAGAAGCTCCGGGCATTATCTATCCCTGGTGGTCAGTAGTGCAGAACAGCACCGGTTCCTGGGCAACGCCATTGTTGGCTCTCTGGGTGGGGGAGGGGTAACTAAGGACAACTGCTGGATGAGAATTCCGGAAGGGAGGGACAGTCGGAGCGGAAAACGGGGAACACATGCCGCTTCCCCGGTCATCGCTGGTGATTCGAGGCTTCCGCTCGAGGCGAGGGAGGAGGGCGGGAGGAGCCGAAAGACGCGCCCCTGATTGGTGGGTCGGGGCCACTGAGCGGCTCAGGATTGGGCCGCCTGAGCCGCAGAGCGTACTCTGCGCCGCGTAGGGTTCTGGGTAACAGAGGCCTTGGAAGGGTCCTAACCGAAAGGGGGAGGGGGAGGGTCGCCAACAAACGGCTGAGCTCACAATCCCGGCCACGACAGGCCGGAGCGTCCCCCTCCCCCATGGAGACAGCCAGGCCTGAGCCACCGCCTCAGCCGCGCCAACTGCCACGGCCGACGCCTCCGCGCCCGTTGCGCCCCGCTCCGCCCTCGCTGCCAGTCGAGGGCATATCCTTTCGGGCAGGGGCTTCGGAGGCCTCGCCGTCGCCGCCTGCCCCGCGCGCGGCCACCATTCTGACGGTGGCCTCGTCCTGTGGGGAGGCTCCGGCGCCGGGCGTACACCCCGGGACGCGGCGGGTGCTTCAGGTGAAGTCGGAGAAGGTGCTGCTGCTGCCGCAGGCGCCACTACTGCCTCAGGTCGAGGACGCGGGCGGCCCCGCCCCTCCCGCGCAGGCGCAGGCGCAGACACAGCTGCTGCAGCTGAGGCCCGAGCTGCTGCTGTTGCCGCTGCCCGCGTCCGAGGGCGCCCCCTACAGGCCCGAGCTGCGCCCAGTGCAGTCCCAGGTGCCGCAGCGGGTCAAGGCCGAGAAGCAGGCTGAGCTGGGCCACGGCTTGGATCCGTCGGTGGGAACTCGGAGGGCCGTCGAGGCTGGTCCTCGAGCCTCCAGGGCGGCCAAGGTGGACGGCCACGGGCTGGCCCTCGACAGCCGCCGAGGGGATGAAAACAAGGGCAAGCTGGGGACGGAGGAGGTGATGAAGGATGCGGTGACGGGCGGTGAGGACAAAGGCCTGGCTGCCGTCGGGGACGGAGCCGTCAAAACCGAGGACCCCGAGGGACTCCTCGGGGACTGCAGAGTGGGCACGGAGCCCGCGTCCAATGGCCTGGCCCACGGCAACAAGGAGGTGATCCTGGCCCAGCCGTCCAGCACCTTTGAGCTGCAACAGCAAGACCTCAGGATCCCTCTGACGCTCCACCCGGTTCCCCCGGGCACCAGGATCCAGTTTCAGGGACCTCCGCCGTCTGATCTGATACGGTTGACCAAGGTCCCGCTGACACCAGTGCCTATTAAAATGCAATCCTTGCTGGAGCCATCTGTAAAGATTGAAACCAAGGATGTCCCGCTCACCGTGCTTCCCTCAGACGCAGGTATTAGACGACAGGGGAATCTGGTTTTCAAAACTTCGTCTATGTTGCCCCATAGCAGACATGTCAGCGGTTCAGAAGCCTAAACTAGACAAATAAAATCATGGAACTGATTCTTAGTCTGCACCGGTATCACTTCTGCTTGACTTGTACGTATTTTAGTAAAATGCACTAACACGTTTGTCTCACAAGGACAAGCGATGAAATTTAGGTAACTAATTTTTATACACAAATATTCTTGCTAGGCAACACAAAGCCCTCAATTTGTTTGTCACAATCAGTCAACATTGAAATATTCAATATTGTTATGTGTATAATAAAAAAGATCATACAAGAAAGTTTATACCAATTATAGAGGTTATTTTTTAAAAAAGTGAACAGTAACCATTTTTCTAGGGGAAAACAATCCATGATTAAATGTAATATTTTACTCTTCTAAAATCTAAGGATTTAGAAATATTGATTGAAAACGAAAGTACTGTAGAATAAGCTAGAATTATTTTTTAAAGAAATGACTATAGTTACAGCTGTAACCACTACTAATAAACATTTTCCAGTATTTCCAAATATGTAGCTAGCAAATCCTTAAAGATTTAGTTCAGACAGAAGTGTCAATAAATGTCTTTGAGAGTTATATTAATTTTCAGTTAATATTTTCATTAACTTTTATGCTTTTTTACTGATTCTTCTTACCCACTGTTCCCTTTTAGTTTTTTCTTCAGCAGTTTTTTGACTTTGTCTTCATTTTCTAATGGAAATAATGGGATACCTTTCTTTATACTGTTTTATCTTTTATATGTTAAAATTTTTTAAAATCAAGTAACTCTAAGAGAAACTATAATAAATATGTAGACAGTATTTTATATACTACATAGAGATTTAAATTTAGCCAATTTTATTGTAATTTCAACTGGCTCTGTGAGTCTCAAAAAGTCATTTTTGAGTCATTATTTTTCTCTTATCTCCCAGGACATGGGACTGATGTTGAGAATAGACTCAACATCTATTGAGTCTAAAAAATTTTTTAAAATATAGTTTTATATATATATAGTTTTTCATACAAGTGAAACTATACAGTATATAAGTGTGTGTGTCTGAGTTACCTCTCTTTTTTTTTTTTTTTTTTTCTCCGGTACCGGGAACCGAACTCACGACCTTGCGCTTGCCAGGCAGGCGCTTTTGCCGATGAGCTAAGTCCCCAGCCCCCTGAGTTACCT